GGACTGGGGGGGTCTCTCCCTCTGCCCCATCCCTAAGCCCAGGGACAGGGCAGCACCTCGCTGGACCACAGCATCACGTCAGGCATCCCAGGCTGTGCTCCCAGTGCCACCACGAAGCCAAACGGGGCAGGAGCTGCTGCCAGCTGCGCCAAGGGAACAGGGCAGGAGAAAAAAATCCCCCAAAATCTCTTTGTCTCCTTTCCACCCACCAGTGCTGCCTTTACACAGCAATTACCGAGGCCTCAGGGGCTTTCACACCCAGTCACCTGGGCCTCCTTGTTCTAAACAACTTAATTTGTTTAATGACTTGGTAGGCCCCGGGGCCCCCTTGTTGTCTGGATTTGTTTCCCTGGTCTCGGAAAGGTTTTGCTCTGTGGGGCAGGCAGCCACCACCCAGTCCTGGAGGGCACTGGAAAGCTGTCGTGAAACCTGCACCAAGAGAAGTTTTAAGACATCTCCCCCAAAATTCCCCGGGGGTCTCTGACCCCCAGGGACACACCAGTGACTCCCGATTCAGGGGAAAGGACCTGCAAACCGCAAGCCCGTCGGTAGGGCTGGAGGCAGAGCAGCTCCAGGACAAAATATGGCCTGGAAGGGAAGGGGAAAAACAAAGCAAATTGTGAGATGCTGCTTCGTGCCCTTAAATCCAACCTCACGCCTGGCCCTGCTGCCAGCCCAGACTGAAACACCAGGCTGGGAGAAACTGGGATGCTCCAGCCCTTGCTTTCTTTTTAACTCCGGGAAAGGAAATAAAAAGGGGTGGGAGTGCTGATGCTGTTCGCTTGTCCTGCATGGAGCTGGGGGAGCAGCACTGGGGCTCGGGCTGGCAGAGGGGGGGTCCCAGCAGGGGTGGGGGTCCCTGGGGGAAGCCCAGGGCAGTGGGGAGTCCTGCACCCCGGCCGTTACCAGCACCTCCCTCCATTGTTTCCCAACCAGCGTTTTTCCCTATGACCTAATCTTCCCTTGGCTCTCGCTGGTAATTTTATGGCAGGGAAATTATTTTGCAGTAAAAGGAAAGCAGATCCAGGCCATTCTCTTCCCTCCTGTTTTCATAGGGGTTTTGGAGCGGTGGTTTTGTTTTCTGCTTCAGGCACTGCAGAAGGATTGTACGAGACGAGATGGGGAGCGAGCGTGTGTCGGGTCGGTAATGCTTTCGTTGTTCCTGTAAGAACACGAGAAGGCAACAGCGAGAGAGAGATTTAAACAATTCCCCCCATGCAAACCAGCTCTGGACACAAAAGCTTTTTAGTTATCATCAGCATTTTGTAAGATTATATTAAAATAAACCTTCAGGCTCAGTTTCCTGCTCTCAAGAACCCACTCATAGGATTATAAAGCACACAAACATAGCCTAGAAATCTCAACCAAGGACGGACTAAGAATATTTTCTCCCTGTTCTTGCACAAACGACTGCCCTCCTCACTGTGAAAGCCTTAAAACGAGAAGAGGTACTAAGATTGAAGCTCTGCAAAATGCAGATCCCACAGTGTGTCATTTTCCCTCTATTCCCATTAGGAACAATCCTCCGGATTGAAGAATTTGCAGCGGAGCTGTTCCTGGACCGAAGGCATCTCACCCTCATGTTGACCATTCCCACCTCACACAACACATAAGAAAACACGTGGAGAACATCCCGAACATCCCTCTGAGCCAGCAGAGAGGAACCTTTCTGCAGTCACCACCCTTCCATCGCTCAGCTGAAAGGAAGATTTTTTTTAAGTAAAGCAACCAGGAGAAAGGCAACCAGGGGATCATCCCTGAGCTACAGACCCAGCAACCCAGCACGGACAGATGCACGTAGCTTTTCGAGGGCTGGTTGACCATGCGAGTCTAAATATACATACTAAGAGCGTGCCAGAATATACCTAAAAAGAGAGCCTGGCATTAAATTTCCTCTAGAAACTCAACAACCTGGTAACATCTGCCCTAGGAAAAGAGGGCCCTAAGCTATCATTTCTCTTCTTCCCTCCGGTCCCCCAGAACCAGGCTTGTTCCTGCGGCTTGGGGGGGGGCCCACTCTGGGGATGAAGTGGGGCAACGTGGCACGGCCAGGGCCGGCGCGACGGGCCCGAGGCGCCCGAGCAAGCTCCGAGCAGGGTAAGAGGAGCCGTGCGTTTGCTCTCGAGCTCGGAGCCGGGAGCCTGCGTGTGTGCGCACGAGAGAGCGTCTCGATTTTAATTGCAGCCTCGTTGCCAAGTACAACAAAGTCCGCGTACAAAGAATAGAAGTCATTTTGTCTTAAGGTTTGAATTGTTTCTTTCCTAAGGGGAGGGGAGGGAGGTGAAATCCATTCCTTTATAAGCAATGACTCAGGTGCTACGATCTACCCTGGGCGCGCATCTTGCAAGCCCGAGTAATGTTTTGTGCCGTGTTTTGTTTGACGGCATGGGCCCTAATAATGGGATTATTGTTCGGTTTGCGTGCAAAGCCCTCGCTTGGGGTTTTTTTCTGTCCCCGCCCAGCCCTGCAAACCGCAGCCGCCTTCGCCCTCCCCAGCACCCCGGCGCGGGCCGGCGAGCGCCCGGCACCCGCGGAGGGGCCCACCCGCCCATTCCTGCGCCCTGACTCACGGCGCCGCGCACGGGGCGACGTGAGCCGTGTCACGCCGGCGGGGGGCTGGGGGGGGGGGGGGTGGGGGGAAAAGGCCGGGCTTCCCCTGCCCCGGTTGCACAACCATAACCTCGGCCCTTCACCGCGCTCTGCCCGGCCGGGCAGGGAGACGGAGCAGCCGGGGTGGGAAAAGCAGCAGCCGAGCAGGCGGCGGGCGTGCCGCGGTGCCAACCTCCGTGCCCCCTCCACGTGCCGCCCTGGCAGCTGCCAGGAGCTGCCTGGCACCCCACGGTGGCGGCAGGGAATAAGGTGGGATTTGCCCCGAGCGAAGGGGACGGCGTTTTCTCCTTGCACCGCAGCTCCAAGCCCAATGGATCAGCCGCATCCCCGAAGGGAGAAGCCCGACGCTTTGCGTTAACGCGCTCATCGCCCCGAATAATCCTCTCTCGAAGGCCTAATCCCCTGGCAAACAGGGGTAGGGTGCCACGCACCCGAGCTCTCAGCAGCCTCTCCGTCTACCACTTAGTCACAAGCACAACCCGACGCTCGTCCCGGGCAGCTCTCCTGGTTGCAGAGGATTTTCCCCGTGGATTTTTCCACCGTCTTCTCGCAGACATTAACTGCCCGGCTGGGTACCGTGCCCACGGCCATCGCGCTGGAAAACATCTTGGTGATTGGGCCTCTGATATTAGAAAAAAAAAAACCCAAAAACAAAAAAACAAAAAAAAAATGTGAGAAAAGCACATTGTTGGGCTTTTTCGTAGCAACTTTGCTCGGCGAAGCTCTCCGAGCAGCGGCTCCACACCCGGGGCTTGGACACGTAGCACCGAACCGCCGCCGAGCTTCGCCTGCTGCCAAACGCAACCACCCCCGGGGGCTGTGAGAGTCGGGGGCTTTTCCAGTTCTCAGCTAAACACTCGGGTCACCCTCCGGCAGTAGCAGGGCTTGCAAAACCCCAAAACGTCCACGAGAGCACCAGCAAGCAGGGCACAGACTTATACCAGGTTGGGGGGTTAATTTTAAACCCGATCGCAAAAGCACATACACGTGCTGTTGAGAAAAAAGACCTTTCACTTTGCCTTTTGGAGTTGGAGGCTTTTGGGTGGAGGGGAGTCACAAGTTAGGTTTTCCTCCAGCCAACGCAAAAAAAAGGCAAAACCCCGGCTGCATCCCAGCACGGGTTTGGGGCCAATTCCCCAAACCCAGCTCCAGCCACGGGATAACAATCCTTTTCCCCCTCCGGCTCCTCCCGGCCGACGAGCAGAGCCCGTCTCCATTTTGCGGGGCTCGGCCGTGTGTTCCTGTTGCCTTTGCTCCCAACTCCACCTTTTCATTGACAGCTGTTCTTTCCACGGGTAATTTCAGGCCTGGCCCCCAGCCAGCTTTTCAATCAGACCAAGGAATAGATATATAATTTCATTCGCCTCCAGGGTACAAACAGAAAAGAAGGATTTTCACATGTGCTTTCTGGATCACCCTCCCCACTCGCTTCCTACAGGTCCAATGTACATAATCATCTCGGCTGGCTACATCTAAGCAGCATTAAATGCTTTACATGATATTATCTCGCAGCAAACTGATTACAAGGCTGCCTTTAAATGTATAATGTGTTTTTTTGTACCAACTTACTGCACCACAGACCAGAAATCAAGTAAGAAAATATCAAGAAATCCCAAGCCGTGGACACCCTCGAGGTTTTTAAGTTTGAGCTGAAAACAGAGGGCTAAAAGCTTTCCAAACACTCCTGGTGTGTCTAGAAAGGAGGTGAGGAGTAGTGGGAGATCACTCAGCCTTTCCACTGGTGGCACTGGGAAGGAGACAGCGGCCACAGGAGCCCTGGGCTCTTGTTCCCAGCCGTGGGCAGGTCCCTTCCATGTCCCTGCCCCAGGATGGTTTTAAAAAGAGGGTTCAGACACCCCTCACTCGGGGCCATAACCCCAAATTTCCCCTGTGCCTGGAGAGACCCGGCTCATCCCCACGGATCCCGGGGAAGGTCGGGTGCCTCTTCCCATCGCCGTCCCCCGGGGATGCCCCAAAAGAGCATCACCCCCCGTACACCCCCCACGTGCGACCGTGGAACATGCACCCCCCAGGTCGGTGCAGGCAGAGCTGCTTTTTTCTCTTCCCCCCGGGGATTTCCTGCGGTTGCTTTTTTCTGAGTCACAAGGCACGAGCTGGTGTCAGGCGTTGGACCTGGGGGTGAGCTGGTCGGCTGCAGCAAAACCAGTGAACACTAAAACACGCTCACAAGATACCTGGATGAGGCACTGCAAAACTGCCTTTCTTCGGTTATTTTCTCCCTTTTTTTTTCTTCCCCAAAGAGGCTGCCTTCCTGGTTGAGAGGCAGGACCTTTGACAAGCCAGGAGCAACGAAGCTGGAGGAAAGAAACTTAGAACAGAGGGAGGAGAAGCAAAGGTACGGCTTTACGGCATTAAAATAAACCAGGGCAAACTCTGAATTTCCCATTTATTGAAACCTATCACAGTTAAAAGGTCAAATCCATTGGCAAACAGTAGTTTTGTATCACCCAGCGTGACACACAAATGAAGTACAAATGAAATCCAACCCAAAAGGAAAAAAAAAAAAAAAAAAAAAAAAAAAAAGAACCAAACAAAACCGCGTGGCTCTAGCTTAGTTTATTCAAGCCCGTTCCCTCTGGCTGCCCTTCCCGCAGGCCGTGACCCCCCCGAGAGCCCCGTGGCAGCCAGGCGGTCCGGTGATTCCTGCTGAAGGGACGAATGGACCCCTTTTTCCTAAAAAGCGAAGCATCCTTAGGGAAGGGGGAGGTGGGGTTTACAGCATCCTTGCAGCTCCGGCGTTTGGCTCCTCGCCGGAGCGGGCACCGGGCACAGGGAGGGACAGGCAGGACTGGCTCAGCCTGGAAGGGACTAATCCTGCCCGCTCAGGAACAGCCCTTCAGCAAGAGATGCTTGAAAAGCAGAGGGTGAAGAGGCAGGCACACACGGTGCATGCTTCTGGCTCTTCGGGTAGGGTAATTAATTCACCCTGATGAATTATTTCATCCTCATGCGTCTCGGGAAGACGAGAGCTCCCGGCACGCTCAGCTCCCGACTCAGCTCCGAGTTTTTCGACGGGGTGAAGTGCGACTGGGAAAAACCCACCTCGGCTCTTCGGGGAGTGATGAACCAGTGGAACCAGCAGCCGTAAACCAGCTTGGCGAGGCCAGACACAGCCACGGGCCCACATGGAAACGTGGCCTGCTGTCCACCAGTCAGGCAGCACCTCGCCTTTTCAAAGTGTACATGCTAGAAAACACAAAAATTACTCTTTCCTATTTTTTTTTTTTTTTTTTTTTTTTTTTTTCCGGAGAGAACCTCAGGGTATCGGACACAATGCATTGGATCAATGCCCCACTTAAGAGATAAATTTAGGAAAAAATGACATTTCTCTCTTACAGAGATCTCAAGAAAATTCGTTTTATTTGCCTGGACTATTCGTATCCATCGAAACTACTACCCTAAAACATTCCCAAGGGCCAGCAGGATACACGAGGCTGCGATCCCGCAGTGCCGTACGTGTTACCTCCGCCCTAAAGCCTTCCACCCGCCCTTCGAAAAAAGTGTGGAAATCCAGACTCTGTAAGGAGTTTACGCCGTTCAAACGCCTTGGTACTCAACCACAGACCGGCTTAAACGCGCGACAGTGAATTTCTAATCTTCTACAAAACAAAGATGATCAAAACCCAGAGCGACCGGACTCGGAGAAACCAGCCCGGCGTGGAAGGGAAAGGACAAGGTGACCTGCAGCCCAGACAACGCGTCGTCCAACGACCCTCCCGAGAGGAAAAGAAAATCTGGTGGTGAAAGGAAACCAGGACCTGCGAGGAACCACCTGTATTTGTGCTTTGAAAACCACCGACATGACGTTGGAGGGAAGGAAGAGATATAAAATTATAGGAAATCAACACCAAACCAGATCCAAAAAAATATATATACAAAAAAAAAAAAAGTCTAGAGGATAACGCGTGTCCAGTTCCAAATGCCGCTGCACAGATGGCTCTGAAGTCTTCTCCTGGGGAGCAGCGCGAGGCCCTACCCGAGCCCAACGTCCAGGGACATCATCACCACAAATCCTAATATCGAGGTCCAGGATGCCAGCTTCCCGTTGCCACTGCGGGGAGAAAAGGGGAGGGCGTGAGCTCCTGGGACCGGCTTTCTGGATCGGGAAAGCGCTGCTTTAAATCTCAGCCGGGCAAGGGAGGGGACCCGGCGGAGCCCTCCGCGCGTCCCCCCGTGGCTGATCTGCTTTTAGTGGGGGTCGCCGAGGGGTCTCACCTGGTCTGTGCCTCGGGGATGATATCGTCCATCACCACGTAGACCATTGCCCCGGCCGCAAAGCCCAGGGCGTAGGGGAGGAGAGGCTCCGCCACCACCACGGCGAAGGCGCCGAAGATGCCGGCTAAGGGCTCCACCATGCCGCTCAGCTGCCCGTACCTGCCAAAAAAAAAAAAAAAAACAACAAAAAAAAAAACAGACTAAATGACCCAGCTCGAGGGGTGGCACAGCCCTCCCTCCCTCTGCACCTCCCCATCCCCTCGCTCTTCCCTAACGCCACCGGGTCCGGGAGGAGGCCGGCCACCCGGCCATACCCAACCCAACCACCTGGATTATTTTAAACGGGCGAGGAAGGTGATTTGACCTAACCTGGCTGCTATTTCCAGCGTGGGAATTAAGGCACGATCCGATTCCTTCCCCCCAAGAGCTCTGTGAGATTCGGGGATCCAGCTCACGGGCAGAGATGGGTCAGAGGGGAAATACTCCCAACCAGCATAGCTCAATCCCAAAGAGAAAATCCGGCCACAGCCCCAACCAGGATAAAATTGTGCTCTTCCCCTTCATTTTCTTTCCCTCTAGGACTGTGTTAACTCTCTGGACCATGGGAACTCCCTTCCCGGCAGCAGCAACCCCGGTGCAAGTCCCAGCACCGGCTGCGCTGACTGAATTGGAGGTGGGTGGGAGGAAAAGAAAACAAAGCTTTGGCGAGAGCTGTTTCCAAGCCACCCCCCTGCCCTCCCATCCATCACCCGGCCGAGCACACGTGCACGGGCAGGAACGCAGCCCCGCGCTCGCAGGGTTCATGCCCTTGGCTTTTTCACCTCAGGGAAAAAGAAAAAATAAAAAGCGGGTTTGAAATTCAGCCCAGAGTGAAGCGAGAGAAAAAAAAAAAATGAAACAAAATCAAAGTTAAAAACAAAACAAAAACCTGCTTTTTTTTTTTTTTTTAAAACAAACAAGCAAACAAACAAAAAACTCTTTAGTGCAGGGTCTGGGAGCTCCCCCCAGGCACTCGGCAGGCAGCTGAAGCGGGATGGGGTGACCCATCCCTCGGGAGCCGGGCGCTGGGAGCGGAGCCCGGGCACTGCGGAGGGAGCAGGGCAGCGCTCCCCGCCCTTCCTCGGGGCTGGAAACCAGCAGCGCTCCCAGCAGCAGCTCTCCGTGATGCCTGGGGGGGTGGGGGGGGGAGGAATCTGCCAGGTCTGGAACGTAATTCCATAATTCCAACCCCAGCAACAACACCCGCTCCACGGAGACGGCGGGAAGCGGCTTCTGGCCGGAGCAAGGAGGGCAGCTCAACGATGGAGCGACGCAAACGGACACGGGGAGGAAATCTATAGGCACCCGCTCGTCCGGAGGTGCTGGCAGAGGGCTCTCGTTTCCACGGGTGAAGAGGAACTCGGCTTACCAGAACGCTTTCCACGTTGAAAATCCAGCGCCGCGCAAAGGCAGGCTGACGGCCAGGCCCTCCGGGAAATTCTGAATCCCAATCCCGATTGCTAAATTCCTATCCGCACAAAAAAAAAAAAAAAAGCACACAAAGAAAAAATAAAACAAAACAAAACAAGGTATCAAGTGGAAAGCACGGCCCGGGTTAGGCTGCTGTGAGCTGGGAATAAGAAAAAAGACACTATGAAAGATACGCCTTTTGAATGGAAGTGCAGCTAGCCCTGGGGCTAGTCATGCTAATATTTAACATGAACACAGCAAACTTCATCTTCAAAGAGGTCTGCAGCATTTAATCAGCTTCAGCACCAGCCCTGGGAGCGACAGAGACCAGATGGAGGAAGAGAGACCTGTCCAGGGAGGCCCCACGAGGCGTTTCCAACCCAGCATCCCTGGAGCCCGGCGCTGGGGCAGCCCCCAGGCTCACGGATCCCCCTGAAGGGTCGGGGGGTCCCTCCCTCCCGGGGGGATTTGCCAAAGGACCCCCCCAAAGCATCCAGTCCGTCTCCCATAACCTGCCCCAGCTCTCACCAGCACCGTCCTTAACCATAACCACTCCTGCACAAGCCTTACAGCTCATCAGAAGAGAGGTGGTATATTTTAGCCACGGGATTTTGATTTCTTTCTCTCTTTTTTTCCCCCTTCTTGCATCCTACGGGGAGGCGGCACTTGGGCTTCCAGAGCCAAAAGCAGCGGGAGGGGAGAGCTGGTCTGCTCCTCAGTGAAGTGGCACGGGAGGAGGCAGGCTGCTGCGAGGAGCGTTTCTCCAAGCACAAGAGATAAAAAGCCTGATAAAAGGGGGTTAGGCAGGCAGGCACGGTGAACTCGAACCGCTCCAAGCAAAGCCCCGCGTCCCCAGCGACAGAAAACACGGCTCTTGGAGCTGACAACCGAAGGACAGAGAGGAGAGGTTTGAAGGGATGTTCAAGGGCAGAGGATTCAGTGAGGTTTCTCCTCGCTTGCCCTCTCCCTTCCCATACTGAGACCCAACGCCCGCTTCAGCACCCACCCACCTTCAGAGCACCCTGCGCCCACCCAAGCCGCTCCCGCGCAGCAACCCCACGGTGGGATCACATCGCCCGGAGCTCATCCAAAATGGAAACAGCTCCACGGACAGCTGGCGGTGGAGAAAGCTGCTCTACGGCGGGAGGGTTTGTCAGATCTTCTGTGCCAGAGGCAGCTACACCCCAGCTCCGTGCACCAGCACCTCACCCCGGTACCCCCCCGCCCGCGCCGTCCCCCGTCCTCAGCTGGGATTTGCTCCAGCCACGGGCATGGTCCTCCTCTGCTTCAGGGTCCCTTCCAGCTCAGCGGGAGGTTTGGATTTTTTTGGTGAAAACCAGGAACTTGGGATATGGAGCTTTCTCCTTCCACTCGAGGGTTTCACAAGCACCAGACTGCACGGGGCCCGTTTTTTACGGCGCGGGGCTCCTCAGGCGGAGCGGTTCCAGCAGGGCGAACGATGGCTCGTTCCACACTTGGAGCATTTCTCCCATCGTGGCTTTACTGGTGCGTGGCGGTGGAGCTGGCCAGGGCCTGTCCTCGGGGGGGGGGGGACACCGAGAGCCCCGGGGGGGGCTCAAAGCTCCAGCAAGGTGCCAGGCTGCGACCTGCCCCAGCCCACGGCTCCGAGCAGGACCCCAGCGCCTCTCTGCAAGGTCAGTTATTCCTTTGCCAGCAGCTGAAAGCTCCCTTTGCTGCTTTAAACACTTGTTTCCTATTAGTAAAATAAGACTGGTGAGAAAAATCTCTCTGAGTTGTTTAAACTTCTACCAGGGTTTACAGAAGAGGGGAGGGGACGGGGGAGAGGCTGTGGGTTTCCCTAACCAGGACAGGCTATTACAATCAAAAACATTATTCAAGGGAAAGAGAGAGAGAACGGAGGGGGAAAAACATCCCTTTTAGAAAACACTGGAGCCGCTGTCTGTGCGCTGGGTTTTTTTTTCCTCCTTCCCTCGCCTTCGCACAAAGCAGCTATTACTGGCCCCGACCACAACAAATTAATGGGGTGGGAGAGGGAGGTGTGAATGGAGGGGTCTGTACGGGAAGGGTGGTGACCCCCCCCCTTGCCCCCAGTCCCACCGGGAGGAGGGAACCCCGCGCTGACCCCTCGCCCTGCAGCAGCCCCGGGGGAGAGAAAGCTCCGAGGAGCAGGAGGAAGGGGAATTTAACCCGGGAGAGATCCCACAGGAGAAGCCCAGACGGGTGGGTTTGCCCCTGCTCTCTTCCTCCTCTCTCTCCCACGCACGCCCCTAAGCAAAACCCATCAGGGCTCCCCGAAAGCAAGACCCGGCCCCGGCCCTGCAGCTTGGGCCACCTCCAGGGTTGCCCAGCGGGTCCGGCACGTGCCACGGGCAACTCACAATGGGTTCACGGCATGCTCAGCACCCGCAGGGACCCGGCCACCCACTTCCCCCAGCCTGCGGCAGGGAGGCAGCAACCTGTGCCCCCCAAACCCCCCCTTCCTCCTCCCAGGTGAGGCTTTTAAGCTGTTTTCCCCAAAAACGCGGGCGCCGGCGTCCCGCCGCGTGGGTGCTGGCAGTCAGGGCGAGCATCGGGCGCGGGCGTGGCGAGAGGCAGAGGCCACCCGAGACCCAGAGCTGGCCTCAGGTGTCCCTGTTGCGTGGGGTTTCTCGCTCCTGCCTTGGGACCTCCGTGGGGCAGAAAGGACCTTTTGGGCTCAGCCTCAGGCTGAGAAGGTCCCCGTGTCATCTCCTGGCCTCCAGTGTGCCCACAAAGGTCTTCTGCTCGTCCAGACCACACTCCCCCATCTCTAGGACCCCTCATTCCTTCAACGTTTTCTCCTACCACAGCTCTGCCTGAACACTTTTTGGACTTTTGGGGCCTTTTGAGCTTTTCCCGGAGACACTAATCTCATCAGGATGGGGCTAACTCTGTGACAACACGGAGGCCAGAACACATAAGCCTTCCTATTTGCTCTGCCTCGGTTCACTGCACGGCGGGTGCCGCCACTCGCTGCTCAGGGGCCACCTCAGTTTGCCCCACGTAGCGTCTCGGGGAGCTAAGGCAAAGCAGATTTACCTCCAATGCCTCAACTGTGAAATAAAGCCATCCCAAGGGACACTCCTCTCCCCCTTGGCCGCCGAGCCGCGCACACCTCACACCTTCCCCGTAGCTCCCGTGTCGAGCTGACGGCAACACGGTTGGTGAGAAAGCAACTGAATCAAAGCTGCATTGTGTATGGGGAAAACAAAGGCGTCCTTATTACGGAAATAGGTGGGGATTCTTGGAAGGCTTCCCCCGACTGCAAAGAAACACACTGTAAAACAGATGCACAAAGACAGACTGGAGCAGCCTGGCCCAGGGGAGCCGAAGCTCTGAGTGCCCACGGCGAGCTACGGGACACAGGGGAGGTGACAATGGGGAGATGAGCCAGCGCGGCCGGAGGGACAATCATCGGGATGAAATGTTTAGAGATGCTAGGGTCTCTGAAGCAAGGAAGGCGGGGAATAACTGAGAGCCGTGTTAGAAGCAGATCCTGTCTGGTCTGATGGGTCACCCGTGTCTAATTAGAAGACATTTTGCAGGCAAGGAGGATAACCTGGGCCTCATCCCCAACCTCCAAACGTGCATTGGCCTAAAGAAAGAGGAGCCCATGGGAAGCCACACCGGCCTCTGCCTGGGGACGTGCGTGCTCCGTTACCGGCTCTGCCACCGGCACCTTGGCCAACGCGGGGGTGTCACTCGGGTGTCTCCTCCGTTTGGGCACAAGGGACTCCGGTGTCCTTGGAAGCATCAAGGAGCCAACATGCGTTGGCCACATTACCTTTCCCAGCTCTCTGCCTCAGCTTCCCCATTTGGAAGATGGCAGCGATGTCCTCCATAACCTTCTTGATCTGGGAACAGGACACGTGCCATCTGCCCGTGAGCTCTGCGGAGAGCCCCCGCTGCTGGGATGGGTCTGCCCTTGCGTTGGCTGATCCCCTTCGGCAGCAGAGCCCAGCACTACCATTTTAAGGAAGAAAAGGTAAAACCGTGGCATCCTGGTGGAGCTCCGCCGAGGACCAGCTCCTCGTGGCGAGAGGGAAGGACTCCGCGTCCCCCGGGAACGTACCGGGGCTGGACCTCCTACCCCCAGCTCGCCTGCCAACTGCTATGGCACCACGCTGGGAGACTCCAAGTTCACTTTCAAAAAAAAAAGTTGGCATCTCTGCATATTTGCAAGGTCAAGGCACAGAAAGCCTTCTATAAGCCTAAACCCTTGTTTTCAAGGGCCTATTCTTTTACAAACTGATTATGAAAGCAGGCTACATATTCTTAACAAGCCCCTTTTCACTACGGCTTTCAATTCCCTCCAGTGTATAATGTGCATGTGTATTCTTGCATGGCAGGCCCTTACATACTGTTTTGATTGTTATCGCCTTGCCATGAAAGGGCCGATTGTTTTGGGTTCCCAAGATTACATCATGGCTCCCACTCGGGCCGCCCGTCGAGGTGTTTGATCCGGGCTCGCAGGTGGGAAGGAGCTCTGGGGCGAGCGCGGGGCCCTCTGCGTTTCCCCATACCTGCCCTACCTGTTAAACACAGCTGCCGGCACGCTCTGCCCCGGCGGCACGGGAGGCTCTCACGCGAGGAGGCGGCGGGGGAGCTGCTGGTGGTGGTGGTGGTGGGGGGAGCGGGGTGGCAAAACCCCACCCCACCCCCCCTTTTCGCCAGCACCAGCGCCCACCGGGCCACGCGCCCACCCTGAGCCACCCGCGGGCGCAGGGGGCTCAGCGGGATCCCATCGCTTGCGGTGCTCGGCGTTGCAAAGGCCACAGCTGCCAAAGCAGGAGGGGGGATGTCGCTCTCGCGGATTTGCCCTTTGGTAATGCAGCATCTTTCGTCTCGAACTCAACACCATTAAAGAAAAATAAAAAGGAAAAAGTGGATGCAAACGTACCGTGCCTCCTCCTCTTGAGTGCAGCCCCATTACCCACAGGGACACAGGAATGGATAGAACAATGTGGGAACCCATCCCGGGCAGCGGGATGAGGGATGTACCCCCCCAACCCAGGCAGGGGATGCAGGATGAACCCCCCCCAACTCAGGCAGGGGATG